AAATCGACTCTCATGTTTATTGGAACACCTTGTACCAATGATAAATCTGGTCTTATGACATAGCAAACTGGGAAAAAGCTCACATCATGGAAATTAATTGTAAGACAACAACAATAACAAACTTAAAAATTGAGTGATATAGAAATATTAATTTCCAGATATCCCCCCCCCCCACATGAACACCCTAATTTATAGATGTTAAAAATATCCTGTTCATCCTGGATCCATGTTTTCTAGGTTTAAAACACCTGCTTTCTCCTGTGTTTTAGATATTAAACACACAATTTCTCTTTTTTTCTATAAACCCCACAATTTCTGCTTTCTTCCGTCTTCTAGATACAAAACCCCTGCTTTATCCTGTTTTCTAGATTCTAGTTTCTAGATTTTAAACCATTGCTTAATCCTGTTTTTCAGCAATTAAACCCCCAATTATCTTGTTTTCTAGATATAAAACCTCTGTTTTATCCATATAAAACCCATGTTCTCTAAATTACCTCTGTTTTATCCTGTTTTCTACATATGAAACACATGTTTTCTAAATTTGACACCTCTGTTTTATCCCGTTTTATCCATATAAAACCCATGTTTTCTAAATTTAACACCTCTGTTTTATTCTGTTTTATCCATAAAAAACCCATGTTTTCTAAATTTGACACCTCTGTTTTATCCTGTTTTCTACATATAAACCCATGTTTTCTAAATTTAACACCTCTGTTTTATTCTGTTTAATCCATAAAAAATCCATGTTTTCTAAATTTAATACCTGTTTTATACTGTTTTCTACATATAAACCCCATGTTTTCTAAATTTAACGCCTCTGTTTTATACTGTTTTCTGCATATAAAACCCATGTTTTCTAAATTTAACACCTGGTTTTATCCTGTTTTATCCATTTAAAACCCATGTTTTCTGAATTTAACACCTCTGTTTTATCCTGTTTTCTACATATAAAACCCATGTTTTCTAAATTTAACACCTCTGTTTTATCCTGTTTTCTACATATAAAACCCATGTTATCTAAATTTAACATCTGATTTTATCCTGTTTTATCCATTTAAAACTCATGTTTCCTAAATTTAACACCTCTGTTTTATCCTGTTTTCTACATATAAAACCTCTGCCGTGTGACGTCTTTCTACTAGAACCTGTGTGTTTGTCGTAAGTCTGCTGAAACATGTCTGTGTTTTCTCTGTCTGCTGACACCTGTCCGTGTGACGTCTTTTTACTAGAACCTGTCCGTTTGTCGTCAGTCTGCTGAAACATGTCTGTGTTTTCTCTGTCTGCTGACACCTGTCCGTGTGACGTCTTTCTACAAGAACCTGTCCGTTTGTCGTCAGTCTGCTGCAACATTTTCTGTCTTTTCTCTGTCTGCTGACATCTGTCCGTGTGACATCTTTCTACTAGAACCTGTCCGTTTTTCGTCTGTCTGCTGAAACATGTCCGTGTTGTCGGTCTGTTGACACCTGTCCGTGTGTCGTCTGTCTAGTGATTAGTTGTGTAATTACAGACTCTACAAACTAATGTAGAACTAATTTTGGAACAGTCACCGTATAAATATGATATATATAATATATATATATTTATATTTATGTAGACCAATTATGGCCAAATTTAATTTTTAAGAAACACTTGCCACACACTTAGAATTCAAGAAACTTTTTCATCCTCTGCATGAAGATATATTTTGTATATGTTTGTATGTACATGTATTTTGTAGGTATGTTACATATTTGCAAATATTTTTTTTCATGTTTATATTATTATTATTATTATATATTCAAAGAAGGGTGATGAATGAATATGAGAGGGTATGGGAGTGGATTAACTAATAATACAAAAAGATATATTACATTAGTACCAGCTCCTCTACAGGCATACTTACATACTTTAACCAGATAAACCAGGCAGAACACACAGACATACATTTAGAAGGATAGAAGGATAGAAGGATAGAGGGATAGAAGGATAGAAGGATAGAAGGATAGAAGGATAGAAGGATAAAAGAATAGAAGGATAGAAGGATAGAAGAATAGAAGGATAGAAAGATAGAAGGATAGAAGGATGGAAGGATAGAAGAGTAGAAGGATAAAACAATAGAAGGATAGAAACATGGAAGGGTAGGAGGATAGAAGGATAAAATTTATTTGATTATAAGTTCTGATCTCTCTGTGTTTGGCAGATGCCTTGTATTTATTTTCATATTTTACATTTGGGCCAACCTTCAGTTCCTTCAGTAGAGATTAGAGTACAACCTTCAGTTCTTTCAGTACAGATTAGAGTGCAACCTTCAGTTCCTTCAGCAGTGATTAGAGTACAACCTTCAGTAACGATTAGAGTACAACCGTCAGTTACTTTTTTAGAGATTAAAGTACAACCTCCAGTTCCTTCAGTAGAGATTAGAGTACAACCTACAGTTCCTTCAGTGTAGATTAGAGTACAACCCTCAGTTCCTTAAGTAGAGATTAGAGTACAACCTTCAGTTCCTTTTTTAGAGATTAGGGTACAACCTTCAGTTCTTTCAGAAGAGATTTGAGTACAACCTTCAAAAGAAATAAGAGTAAAACCTTCAGTTCCTTCAGTAGTGATTAGAGTACACCTCTAATCTTACTTCTCTCTCTTGTGTCTATAAGGAGAAAATTGTTAAAAACACTTGTACTGAAGAACGTAGGGTCCATACAAATTCAGAAAGTTTAAACATTCAACTCGGATCGTAAAAAAATCATTTCCAAACAAATCATTCAGATATTACAACTAATAATCATTGATAATTTTTCGGCACATTCGTATATAGTTGATATTTCATAATATTTTTTATTTTTTATGATCTGATAGTTACTTTTGAAAACATTTATTCCTGTTTCGAGGATTTTTGATAATGAAGACGACAATTTCATATTTTCCAGGAATGTTTGAAAATCTAGCGCCAGCGAAATAATATTTAAAAAAACAAAATCAAAATATTTTGAAATATAAACTATATATGAATGCGTCGAAAAATAATCGATGACTTTTGGTTATAATATCTGTTTAATTGTTTTACGACCCGAGTTGAATGTTGCAACTTTCTGAATTTGTATGGACACCATGTTCTTTTGTATGAGTCGCTTTTAACAATTTGTTCCTTATAGATAGGCGCAATTCAGATAGAAGTAAGATTAGTAGCGATCAAAAGCGCTTATTTTTTGCCGTATGCCTATTATACCCCTTTTTCCTTTTTCGCGAACACTTCCTTTAACTGAAGGCTCCCTTGATCGAAATTATACGACACTTGACAGACAGTCCTTTTAAATTCCCGTCCTCTGTGTTCAACCCTGCAGCTACACTAGACTCCGTATATCCTGTAAACATAATTCAAAGATGAAACTTTACAATTTTACAAATATTTTCTATTTTCTTCTTTTGTTCGTAGCGCACTGTTGTAGATTATCTAACCCACAGCTGGTGATGGTATAATGGTCCCCCGCCCCCTTCCCTTCCTTACAACCCTCCCCTCTCTCCCCTTCCTGACAAGCCCACCTCCCTCGGCCCTTCCTCCCCTTTCTGACCCCATGCCCCCTCCGCTGCTGTCCCATTCAATTCCTAATTTTTTGACAACTATAGCCCAACATTACGGTAAAATACGCAAGAACAAATGATTAAATTACTCAACGCTGAATATGAATACAAAAAGAGTAAATTGTTTATTAAGAAAACAAATTATTCAAGAAAAAAGAAAATATATTTTTTGAAACTATCATATCAGTTTTTGTTATCCCGAATCTGACCGCAGCGCTAGACCTTGAATTTGCAGAATCTAATTTAACCTTAGATATGAATTGAAATAAATATATTTGGTAAGATGGTTTGGACCAATCGTATTCTATAGGATTAAGAAAAAGATGTTTTAAGAACTACGTTAAAACTATTCTCAGAGTATAGTCTGCCAATTTAATTTTATAGAGTGTCTCCCATCATATTGGATCGTGCATACATCTAAATAAGGGGTTTTGCGACAAAAAAAGAAGATTTTTTCATAAACTTTGACAAGAACTTTGCATGCAGAAATTACAGGATTCTCCATAAGCACTCTCTATGTATTTTGGCAAAAAAAAATTGGAGATAATCCATTGTCATATGAGACGCGCTGTAACTTTCAATATTACTTTATAAGATTATTGGTCTAGACTAATTCTGGGAACATCAAACAAACCAAAACACCTGAAGCAAGAAAGGGGTGAAGCCCCCCCCCCCACCCCGTATATCATAACTATATCATAAGTGGATTTCTTTAAAGAGACTAAATAGGCGTGACATAACCCATGTTTCCTGTTTACAACTCACGCGTAGGTCAACCCAGATGGCGCAGGTGGTGGGCTCATCTATCCATTTTTCAGACATTCATCCATCCAGCCTTTCATCCTTATATCCTTTCATCATTCCTTTCGTCCACCCATTCATCCTTAATTTCAGGCATCCATCCATTCTAAAGGAACTCTTAACTAAAAACCCGCAATTTCTTTGGTCTGAGAAGCGCAAATTACTTCATTACGCACCACGCCCTGCAAACATTTAGTCTCCGACATGCCGAACATAAAAAATTCAGAATTATTTACCCGCGATATCTTCCCCATCAGAACTATGTAGTAGGTTAAATGTTTCCTTGTGAGAACTTAGTTTAAAGTACCAAAACAATAATAAAGATTGTAAACAAAGGCCAAACAGAACTTTCCAGTCCCAATAATTCAGAGTAAAATGTGGACAAACCTTATTCCCCTTACCTTCAGTTTACAAACCTTGCTTCCATCCCTAAATTCATCCATTCACTCCATCCTTACCAATCAATCTATCCCGGTATTTATCTGTTATCCTTGATATATCTATGTTGTTTATATAACTGTTTATTAAAAACAGATACAGCTGTCAGACCGCACGTGCCTTCTGCCCGGCACGCCGGGGGTCACAAGCTGGTGTAATTTGGGGGAAGGGGTGGGGTATTGTTGACAAGGGATGGGGTTAGGAGGATGTTACCGGACGGTAAACGTTTGAAAGAGGAAAGGATGTCCCAAAAATGCTCTTTATAAAACTGATTAGGATGAAACCAATGTAGCTGAGAAGGATGGAACCAATATACCTGAGAAGGATGGAACCAATACAGCTGAGAAGGATGAACCAATATAGTTGAGAAGGATGGAACCAATATAGCTGAGAAGGATGGAACCAATATAGCTGAGAAGGATGGAACCAATATAGCTGAGAAGGATGGAACCAATATAGCTGAGAAGGATGAAACCAATATAGCTGAGAAGGGTGGAACCAATACAGCTGAGAAACCAATATAGCTGAGAAGGATGGAACCAAGACAGCTGAGAAGGATGAACCAATATAGCTGAGAAGGATGTACCAACAAAGTTGAGAAGGATGGAACCAATATAGCTGAGAAGGATCAACCAATGTAGTTGAGAAGTTGAAACCAATATAGCTAAGAAGGGTGGAACCAATATAGCTGAGAAGGATGTACCAACAAAGTTGAGAAGGATGGAACCAATATAGTTGAGAAGGATGGAACCAATATTGCTGAGAAGGATGGAACCAATATAGCTGAGAAAGATGGAACCAATATAGCTGAGAAGGATGGAACCAATCTAGCTGAGAAGGATGTACCAACAAAGTTGAGAAGAATGGAACCAATATAGATGAGAAGGATGGAATCAATATAGCTGAGAAGGATGGAACCAATATAGCTGTGAAGGATGGAACCAATAAAGATGAGAAGGATGAACCAATATAGCTGAGAAGGATGAACCAAGATAGCTGAGAAGGATGCACCAGTGTAGCTGAGAAGGATGGACCAAGATAGCTGAGAAGGATGCACCAATGTAGAGGAGAAGGATGAAATCAATAGAGCTGAGAAAGTTGACAAAAAATTATCGATAACGTAGAACGTAGCGTCCAAACAAATTCAGAAAGTTCCAACATTCGACTTGGATCGTAAAATAATCAATTTAATTCCAAAAAAATCCTTCAGATATTACAATCTATAATCATCGATAATTTTTCGATGCATTCGTAAAAAGTTGATATTTCACAATATTTTTAATCGTTTCATATAAAATATACTTTCAAGGACGTTTATTTAGCCGCTAGGTGTCTCTGCACTCTCGATGCTTTTGGAGTTTAACATGGAATAAACTTCAATGACACCTAGCGACAAAAAAAATTGTGTGGACGCTACGTTCTTCAGTAAGAGCCATCTTTAACAATTTTCTCCTTATTGCCGCAACAGATAGAAGGAAGATTAGCAGCGAATAGCGATCACCATCGATAATTTTTGATAATTTTTTTGCCGTAAGCCTATACCTCTTTTCATTTTTTTCGAACACTCCCTTTAAGAAGGATGGAACTAATATAGCTGAGAGGAATTGAACCAATGTAGATGAGAAGGATGGAACCAATATAGCTGAGAAGGATGGAACCAATATAGCTGAGAAGGATGTAACCAATATAGCTGAAAAGGATGGAACCAATATAGATGAGAAGGATGGAATCAATATAGCTGAGAAAGATGAAACCAATATAGCTGAGAAGGATGGAACCAATATAGCTGAGAAGGATGGAACCAATATAGCTGAGAAGGGGAACCAATGCAGCTGAGAAGAACAGAACCAATATAGCTGAGAAGGATTGAACCAATATAGCTGAGAAGGATGGAACCAATATAGCTGAGAAGGATGGAACCAATATAGCTGAGAAGGGTGGAACCAATTTAGCTGAGAAGAAAGGAATCAATGTAGCTGAGAAGAATGGAACCAATAAAGCTGAGAAGGAGGGAACCAATGCAGCTGAGAAGAACAGAACCAATATAGCTGAGAAGGATTGAACCAATAAAGCTGAGAAGGATGGAACCAACAAGCTGAGAAGGATGAAACCAATATAGCTGAGAAGGATTGAACCAATAAAGCTGAGAAGGATGGAACCAACAAGCTGAGAAGGATGGAACCAAAAAGCTGAGAAGGATGNGAGAAGGATGGAACCAATAAAGCTGAGAAGGATGAAACCAATATAGCTGAGAAGGATGGAACCAATGTAGCTGAGAAGGATGGAACCAATGTAGCTGAGAAGAAAGGAATCAATGTAGCTGAGAAGATTGGAACCAATAAAGCTGAGAAGGATGGAACCAATACAGCTGAGAAGGATGGAACCAATGTAGTTGAGTATGAGGAGAATAAAGAATGTAAGTTTTAACGAATGTAGCTGGAGTAAACCCAGGAAGAACTGTAAACCCTAGAGCAAGCTAAGATTTTCTCACATCTTCACTAAACCATACATCCTGTCTGCATACACAGGGTTTAGGACGGGGCGGGGCAGGTAGCAGAAAAAGGGAAGAAGTAGAAGAAGGCTCCTTCCCCATATGAAGAGAAGAAAAAGATTTGGAATGAGTTCAATAGAAGAGTGTATCTATATCTTGTGTTATAACTTATAAAGTTTTATCAGGAGAAGGGCGAGGTTAGGGGACAGGAGGGAGGTAAACAGGAGGGGGAAGGGGTGCCAGGTTGGGGAGGGGACAGGAGGGAGGTAATCAGTAGGGGAAAGGGGTGGCAGGTTGGGGAGGGCCAAGAACAGATATAAGAAAAGGATTTCCTGTCCCAATGACTGAATTCTTGTTATAAGTTAATCAATATGTAGAAGAAAAGTTGAGAATGAGTTTTATTCGGTTAAGTGTTATGAGTGAGCACTGCACTGAGCATGATTTTTTAAAATTTACAATTTAAAAACCGGCAAAATTCTAGCCTATCTATATAATAACGCTCTTTGCTCATATAGGTGAATATTTGTATGTATGGATGTATGTAAGTCCATTTTTGTGTTGACACCGCGGCTAGAACTTGTAGGAACAGGATCACTGTGGATTGAACGGACTTGGTGGCCAAACGTTACGGCCATCTAAATGTGTGAAAATGTATGTGTGTTATTTTCTAGGATTATTATAAATAGGATGGATAGTAGAGGGAAGGTGTTTATTAAAGAATATAAAGGGAGAATGGATAAAGTAGAATGTTAAAATTGAATGTTTCTCTTGTTGGTTATTAAATTCTGTTTTATTTTATAATAACTAGTTGCAGGTTTTGAAAAGAAATTAGGTCAAGAACAATTNGGTCTTATCTGCACTCGTAGATCATACAGATCCTATCTCAGCGTCCGACCAGCAAACATTCAATTCGAAAATATATTTTAAAAATTAAAATTTTTTTAAATATAAACCCTTTTGCAGTCTAAACTAAGAACTGAAATGTGGAATTTTACAGAAAAAATTGAGTTAATTTTCAAAATCATTAAGTTTGGCCATTGAATAAAAATCATTTTGTTCTAATTTACAGAATACTTTAAACTTTTTAGTTTTATAAAATTAATCAACACATTTTTGAATTACACAACTTTGATTCTATTTTGAAAAGCTTCCAGAAAAGAAGGAATTATGTTTTTCTTAAAATTTGTAAAAGTTAATAGGTCTGTTTTCTAGTCGCGTCGATCGGGCCTAATAAATGGTGACAACACAGAAATTGTTTTTAACTAACCTAATCTCATTAACAATATATTTGTTCAGATACACCAATGTTATACTGTCAAAAACTGAAGAAAGGGGGGTCGAGGAATCACTTTGAGGGTTTACACATTTTAAACAGGTAAAAAATAAAATAGTGCAATGTGAATGTTTGTGATAATCACTGTATGCAACGGATACGTCGGATTCCCCCCCCCCATTCCCACCGGAACTATTACGGTCCGTTATTTCCGCTAAACATGAGTTTAGCGGGGTGTAAGCCGAGGGGGAGGGGGGGGAACTGGGAGGATTGACCGATGAAACCGGGAGTATAAAGTAACAAACGGCACTTCCTAGTTTCTCCGCTGGCAGTATCAGTCCGAAGCTAGAACTGTGAACATATATCCGTCCTGCTCTCTAGTATGTCAAGAGATCTCTACCAGGTTCATCCAACTAGACAGGAGATACAACAATCCTGGCAGGAACTGGAAACTACAGGACGGGATAATATTATCCAGGATCTAGATATGCCCTGGTATACAAAACCTGCTGTTATCCTGGGTAAACTATACCCGGAGATTAGCATCAAGAAAATATATTCAGAAGAAACCCTGCCTCCGTATCTACCAAAAGGTTCGTATCCAATATCGTCTCAAACCTATTTCATAAATTATTTTGTTTATTTGATTCTTATCAAGCCTCCTGCCTTACGGACTGAATTTTTACGGGTTGGCAATGTCAATTCAACTGTTAAAGTTCTCTTTAAAAGATTTAAAAGATTAAACTATTTAATTCTGATTTTAATTACTATAGACAATTCTGTTAGAAATATGATTATGATATAATAAATTATCGTGTTATCGTATTATGAATTAGCAAAGCAATAATATAAACTAATTGGTGTCAAATATATAAATTTTATTTATAAATAATTTCTATTCAGAACCAAGACGCTGGAGTCGGGAGGAAGTTAATACCTGGATAGAATACACGTTGGAGTCCCATAATCTTCCCATCCCACCCCTTCACAGGTATACACTTTCCCATACCACCGCTTTACATGTATACCACCTTCCCATACCACCCCTTCACAGGTATACACTTTCCCACACACCGCTTCACAGATATAAACCTTCCCATACCACCCCTTCACAGATATAAACCTTCCCATACCACCCATTCACAGATAAAAAACCTTCCCATACCACCCCTTCACAGATTAACACCTTCCCATACCACCCCTTCACAGATTAACACCTTCCCATACCGCCCCTTCACAGGTATTCATCCTCCTATGCCACCCCTTCACAGGCATACACCAATTCCCATACCACACAGATATACACCTTCCTAATAAAACACCTTCGCAGATATACACCTTCCCATACCCCCCCTTGACAGGTATACACCTTACCATAACACCCCTTCACAGATATACACCTTTCCATACGACCCTTCACAGATAAATACCTTCCCATACGACCCTTCACAGATAAACACCTTCCCATACGACCCTTTACAGATATACACCTTCCCATACGACCCTTCACAGACAAACACCTTCCCATACCACCCCTTCACAGATATATACCTTCCCATACCACCCCTTCACAGATATACACCTTCCCATACGAACCTTCACAGATATACTTCCTGGATAATGGATATTCTTTTGAAAAACTATATATATAATAAAAAATATTTATTATATATCTAGGTTTAGTATGAACGGGAAGGGGTTGAGCTTGATGTCTGTAGAGATGTTCTCCGAACGAGTACCTTTGGGAGGAAAACTACTGTACAAGGATTTCAAGATCAGACTAGCCGGGTCAGGATACTCCTGAGTTTATCATTTAACATTTATTTTAAATTCAGATCGCGCCTTAGTGCTAATCTTGTACCGAGAAACAAGCTGGAAGGCACAGAGAAGATGGACAAGAAGGCGAATGTGTCTGCTCTAGTCTATAGCAATGTGTCTGCTCTAGTGTACAGCAGTGTGACTACTCTAGTGTACAGTAATGTGTCTGCTCTATTGTACAGCAGTTTGTCTGCTCTAGTTTACAGTAATGTGTCTGCTCTAGTGTAAAGTAATGTGTCTGCTCTAGTGTGTAGCAATTAGTTTGCTCAAGTCTATAGCAATGTGTCTGCCCTAGTGTACGGTAATGTGTCTGCTCTAGTTTACAGCAGTGTGTCTGCTCTAGTGTACAGCAGTGTGTCTACTCTAGTGTACAGTAATGTGTCTGCTCTAGTTTATAGCAATGTGTCTTCTCTAGTGTACAGCAGTATGTCTGCTCTAGTGTACAGTTATGTGTCTGCTCTATTGTACAGCAGTGTGTCTACTCTAGTGTACAGTAATGTGTCTGCTCTATTGTACAGCAGTGTGTCTTCTTTAGTAAACAGCAGTGTGTTTGCTCTAGTGTACAGTAGTATGTATGCTCTAGTTTACAGCATTGTTTTTACTCTAGCCTACAGCAGTTTTTCTACTCTAGTTTATAGCAATATGTCTGCTCTAGCTTACAGTAATGTGTCTGCTCTAGTGTACAGCAGTGTGTCTGCTCTGGTGTACAGCATTTTTTTTACTGCTTACAGCAATTTTTCTGCTCTCGTGTACAGTAATGTGTCTGCTCTAGTGTACAGCAGTGTGTCTGCTCTGGTGTACAGCATTGTGTTTACTGCTTACAGCAATTTTTCTGTTCTAGTGTACTGTACAGTAATGTGTCTGCTCTAGTGTACAGTAATGTGTCTGCTCTAGTGTACAGTAATTTGTCTGCTCTAGTGTACAGCAGTGTGTCTGCTTTGGTGTACAGCATTGTTTTTACTGCTTACAGCAATTTTTCTGTTTTAGTGTACTGTACAGTAATGTGTCTGCTCTAGTTTATAGCAATGTGTCTGTTCTAGTGTACAGCAGTGTGTCTGCTCTAGTGTACAGTAATGTGTCTGCTCTAGTTTATAGCAATGTGTCTGCTCTAGTTTATAGCAATGTGTCTGCTCTAGTGTACAGCAGTGTGTCTGCTCTAGTGTACAGTAATGTGCCTGCTCTAGTTTACCGTAAAGCAGTAATTCTGTTGTACTGTTTATCATGTTTATGTAATGTAGAGCCCTGCATTTATGCCGTAGACACTAGACTTAAACTAGTATTAACGTCAAAAACTCTTAAGTTTGCTAGTCAACAATATTTTCTTTAGCTTATTTAATTCGTTGTCCAGGTTTAATTTTGATATTTTTAGCATTTTAAAATGAAAGCTCTAAAACTCTAGTCAATCATAAATTTTAAACATTTGTCACTTTTTTCTTCATGAAATAAATGTATGATAGAATTAGCCTAAGTGTTGCTTGTGAAAACGATGAATTGTATATTTAGAAAAGGTTAAGAAATGCACATACCCAAATAGCGCTGTTTTTGAACTATTTATGTAACTGTAAGTCTAGACACAATTATATACTATACTATACGCAATACGCACAGTACATTGCTGATTAAAAAAAGATAAATTTACAGGGCAACAAAGAGGCATAATTTCATTCGGTAAAAAATCACAGTGTTACAGGGTTACCCACAAATGTTGAGACTGTAAAGACGACCTGAAACTTGCATAAAATGACAATCAATAAGTTGAATTCAGTCTTCTGCTTTGAATATAGTGTTTTGATGGTTTATTAAATGATTTGGCAAGAAAAAAAAACAAGTTTACAGAGAACCGTAAATATAAAAAACAGCTAGTAAAGGGTGTCCCAAAAAACATGGGAATTCAGTGACGAATTCGATATCGTCTTTGTTATGACTTAGCATTGTAATACCTAATTCCAAAAGCCATAATAGTATTATGTCTGCTAGAGTTTATTTATGAAAAGGGTAAAGACTGTAAAGATGAACAGTGAAGACGGACAAGTTTACTCAGTTTGTATACTGCCATTTTTTGTTTTACTAAGTACCACCGTATGCAGTCAAAACATAAATAAACAAAATGTGAACATAGCAGACGAAACTATTTCAAATTACAGCTTTCTCAGTAGGTATCAATATACTAAATCAAGGAATTATTTAAAAAGACGATATCGAATTCGTCACTTAATTCCCTTATTTATTGGGACACCCTGTATATAACTTTTAATTGCACCTTAAGTTATCCGTTTACCATTAGTTCAGCCTATATTTCTTTGAATCGAAAATTCACCTTTCAACATGTTAGAAACCACTTTAAATTTGAAACCAAAAAATTCTCCACGTGGGATTCAATAGAACAATTTTCTGTTATATTTGGACTAATTGGTAACAGATTTTTTCCATTTGGAGTCTATGGCTCAACCTTAAAAGATTCTTTTTATGCTGTAAAGAGCTCTAGTTCAATAGTATGAGTGACGACATGCAGATTTTTAAGCGAAACACGAGACAGTACAACAAAGAATCATCTTCTACTAGCGAAATTAATGTGAAATATTGAACGGATGTATAGGGTAAAAATTCTAAGGAAAGACGGGCTAAATAGTAGATTCAGGGTTACCTCACAGAGTGAGACTGTAAAGACGACCTGAAACTCTTTAAATCTGATGATTCCAAAGTTAAATTAAGTTTTCTGCCTTGAATGTAATCTTTTTATGGCTTCTTTAATGATTAGGAAAAGAAAGAAACTAAGTTTACAGTTGTGATTAAGGAAATAAATAGTATAAATTCTGTACAGTCGTCTTTGTAATCTCATCCTTTGTGGGTAACCTTAGATTTGAATTTAATCGCGTATTCGTAATTTTCGGTTTATAATATTTTCTAAGTTGTCTTCTCTCATGTTTTTCATTGAAAACGCATTGACCAACAAAAATGTCTGAAAGCAAAAAGGCGAACAGAATCATGATTCATTGGTGAAATTCTGATCGAAAGTCCCAGTTTGCTAAACCAAGGACCAAACTACGTATAATTAGTATATTTAACCCGCCCACCTACATCTCAACCTATACTTAGCTCCTAAACCTAACATAAACTGTTCGAAGAAATAATAAAAGTTTAGGTCGCAAATTTCTTAAGTCATTTTCCTTTCGGTCGGTTAAGTGGTACAGGGTGTCCCACGAAACATGACAATAGCAAGACGACTTGAAAGTCGTCTTTGGTATTTCAATTTATTTATGACATTTAGTCTTCTATCTACTTAAACATGTATGATTCTTGAAACAATTACACATAATTCTCCTAGCCCTGGCATTTCCAAAAAGTGGTCTGCGTTTTTTGTGCTTTCAATATTACCGGAGATATAAAGAGTTTGGTTCAGATTTTAATTTTGTTAAATAAAAGCATAATTGTCGAAATCTGAACGAAATTCTTCATATCTCGGGCAATATTGAAAGCACAAAAGTGGCAGACCACATTTTGGAAATGGCAGGACAAGGGAAATTTTGGGATTATTATCTCTAGAAATTTACTTTTAAAATTAGGTTGACAGATAAACGCAGCAAATTATATGAAAAATCAAGACGACATTCAAGTCGTCTTGCATACTGTCATGTTTCGTGGGACACCCTGTATCCGAACAAGGAAATGATGTATTAGGTTTTTAAATGTCGTCTTTCTTAGGCATTAAATACCGTATACTTTTATTTTAACATATCTCAACCGTAAATTAAGAGTTGGCTATATTTACACAATTTATGACTGAAAGAACAATCTTGCGAAATTCTACTCTATTCTAGGTTCTATTCTGTTCTAGTCGCAGCGCTCGGCCCCCTAGCAGCTATCCAAGCCGCACCGATCGGCCTCATTGTAGCCTGCTGCGCCTCAGAGGGCCTAACCTTACCTTTGGGAAGTTGCCTTTTGGAAAACTGCACATTTGGGAAAAAATACTTTGGGAAAGTATACCTATCCAGAGGCGCAACTAGGACTTTTGCTAGGGGGGGCAATATATTATTTTGTAAGGGTTTGGGGGGGGGTTTCCCCCCCTTTTTCGAAAATTTTTCAAAACATAAGTGCTTTTTTAAGGGTTTGAAGTCGAAAAAAAAAGGAAATTTTAAGTTGTTGCATGCAGATTTGGCTGTGTTCAATTCAAATCGATTTTTTGTTCTTGTGTTTTTACAAAATCTATACTTCCAACAGCTGTAAAATGAATGATATGAGTCAATTCATTGAATATGTGTGCGAATCGCAAAAGAGTATTTTTTAAGTACCTGGTTTAATTACAGATTAAATTGCAAGAAATAATCATTTATAGTTTCTGGAAAAAACACATAAAAATACATAGGTAAATAATAATTTCAATCATCTACATTGCAAAAGGACAGATAATGTTACCTTTTCTCTTGAAGTTATTGAATTAATGATTGATCTAACCAACATTCATAATCTAAATTCATTTTCGATTTTACAGAACTTCTGTCAAAGAAGATAAATCTTGTTAATTATCAAATATGATAATCAGTTAGAAATTTGCCAGGTTCAGAATTTTCCCTAAATCTTTGCACCGAGTGGTGTAAACATTTGATATTTCAAACTTTGAATATTTTACCATAAGAATTCAAAGTTTGATATCTACGAGTACTCTATAAACTCAACACAAATAAAATACAGTTCAGAACTTTTTTTTACATTAAATGTTTACAATAGCCTTTAGCCTTGAGAATTGAGAAATATTAAAATATTCTTTTTAAAACTAACTATTGTGTAATAAAATTTCTAAAATAACTCTATTGGTTTTCTTATTCCTGTGATACTGATTTTCGCCATTCTTTCTTTCTTTTCATTCTGCAGGGGGGGGGGGCGCCCCCCCCTCTCAGGTGCTAGGGGAGGGCGCGCCCCCGGCCCCCCCCCCCCCCCTAGTTGCCCCTATGCCTATAACACCCATATATAATATATCAAAGTGGTTTTGTAATGTCGTCTTCTAAAATATAATTTTTTCACAAATTAAATCGAAAATAGCCAGACAATGTTTCGAATTTGATGCATTGATAACGAGAAATCAAATTACTCACAGCCACATATGTATTAGACGCATTTTTCCTTGTCTCGGCTGCAAAAATCTGCTAGTGACTTCAATTAAGAACTGCAATTCTTGGCTAGACAAACTAAATATTCCATAAAATTTTCTCAAACAAAAAAAGGTACTTTTTTAAAATAAAGGGTCACATGAAATTACGCTGATACGGATAGTCCCATGCAACAGATGATACGAATAAGACACTTTTCCAACATTTTTAAAAACAAAGAAATACATACATACATGCTGGTAAGTTGCTTCTTCATTCAACAATTATTTAACAATATCTACCCGTTTCATTTTGCAAATCTTAGATTAGATTTTTTTACTTTTTTCATACATATATGTATTATATCATGTAATCATGTAAATAAAGATTAGTTAGTTTCCAGATATTGTTGTTCATTCCAAATACTGTGTTGATGACGGTATATAATGCTATATAATTAAGCAATGAAAAAGATTGACTTAAGAGTGGAATTCTTTGTCTCATTTCACAAATTTAAGGTAAAATTGTTAGTTTTTCAGACTGAAAATCAATTTTTTCTATGTATTTAATTTGACGATCTGAAGGTTAAAATTTAAACCTAGGCTTTAAATATTATTTTTACAGGATAAAATATATAAATTGAAAAGAAAAAAACGATTGTTAACAGATGCATGTGAACCATTTATGTAAAAATAAATACAAAACAAATTCCGTACAGTCGTCTCTGAACTCTCATCCGTAATCATCCTTACGAATCTGTTTATCTAAATATCCAAATATTTAACAAACAATTTATCGTTTGACTTTTTATTCTTAATTGTCTTTTCAACTATCTTAAAGTGATTTTTCAGTTTATTTTTTTGTTTAAATGCATATTTTACTAAGTTTCGAACATTCTGCGGGGAGTGCCAGTTCGTTATGACAGTCTCATTTTCTGTGGGTATTACGGTATATCTAATTATCTATCTATCTAACTATCTAACTATCTATGTGAATGTGCACGTATATCCGAACGGAAGGGTGTCTATATCGTTCTAGTGTAATGCTTCCTGACTAGTATACACGTTATGCACTTTATACTCATAAATAGAAATTATATAATATTAATATTTCATAGTTTATCCATTTTAAAAATGCAGAAAAAGATATTATAGATCAATATTCATTTATCTAATCTAAAAAAAAAAATTTTAAAAATAAATGTAAATTCATTATTTATTCATTTTAAAAATACATAAATAGAAATTATATTATATTAATATTAATAATTCATTTTTAAACGCAGAAATAGAGATTAATAATAATATTAATATTGATAATCTATTTATTTCATAGATAAGTAAAAATAATAAAAATGTAAATTCATAATTTATACATTTTATAAAATGCATAAATAGAAATATTTATATTTATAATTCATTCCTATTTCGCGTTCATAATTTTGGGAAAACAAGGATAAGGAAAAAAAGTAGATAATGATAAAAAACAGTTATTTTACTTAAATTTGAAAATATAATCCGCTTTTTAAATAAATAATTTGGC